TGTAATGAGATCACATACTACCTCCTAGATTTCCTTTGTAGCTTGATACTTATTCTAAAATCAATCTATCTAAACATCTCTTGAAGAACCCTATTTAGATTCTTTATCCTATTAACTATTTTCTTATACACAATAATACCCAACCACATGTTATGACTTTTAGACAAAGTTAAATGTAAGTGGATCTTTCTTACCATAGTCATTTTACAATTCAATCCTTTCGTCATACATGTGTTATGGGCACAAAATTTGTGCACAATTTTTAGCCTCCAAACTCACCTTCATGCGCCACTTGGATACCAACTAAACGCCTAAATCAACCTTACTCTCTCTTGACATTCTCTTGCTCACACTCACTTTAAATGCAAATAAGAGATGAGATGAGATTTCTGGTAGAGTGCCAAGTATATTTTTACTCAAAAATTTTGGATACTTAGAGCCCTTTATACACAATTACAATCTATATAAATGATGAACAATACATGTACACGGAAGGAAGTCAGGTTTGTAGGGATTTACATGGGCACATGAACACCAAAAAAGAAAGTGCCCAGCAAGCATTGGAGTGGAGAACCAGTTGGCAACACTAGCCAATCGCAATGTGGCACACCCTTTTGTTGTCAACTCTGTGCTTCAATCACACTAAGCTCCACACTCCACCACCCTCATGGTCCACCTACCAGTTTTTCCTCTTCCATAGACTTGTTGAATTCCAGTGATTCCTCGTAGTAGGTAATGTCTCAGTACTCACCTTGTTGCCTAATTGGTTATTATACTACTCCCTCACCATTTGCTTATTCACTTAACTCTACATGTTTCATCACATTAGCTTCTCAAGTGACATAACTTCAGCACCGTTGTTTGATCATTCCTTATTTGCATGCTCTTAGGTTGGGTCACTACATTTGTTTGAACATCTCTTTTTGGAACCTTAGTTGTCTTTTGAACCAAGCTTTACATTTGAATGACCTACTGCCTTGGAACCAATTTTTGTGATTGAATGTCCTCTTGCATTTGAACTAAACTCCTCATTAAAAGACCCACCCCATGGTCCTTATTTGGATGGCTCACATTCAAATGATCTTCCTCATTTAAATTCAATTAAATCTATTAAAATTAGGAAGCATGTCAAATCCTTAGTTTAGATAACTATTTTATAGAGCCTTGAGACATAATATTTTCTATGATATAGTAAACTCTTTTTGTTGTACATTCGTTGTGGCCATAGGCTTCTAGAATTAATATACCTATAGATTATATTGAGGATCATTCTTTTATCAAAGAATGACCAATCCCTCATTGAGAACATACAAACCACCAAATCTCTTATTTAGGACACATGAGCCTCCAAGCAACAACCATTATAGCAGTCACTACCTCTGAGTCCAATTATGATTAAAGCTCACCTTGATGTGCCCAATTATAGGAATAACTAAATAAAACTACCATGATCATTTTGGTCAAAAGACTATTTGCAATACCATGACAAAAAGCAACATCATTGACATTATGAACATTGACATCTTAAGGGGTGTTCAGATGAGAGGATAGGATATAGGATGATAAAATATAACTGGATAAATTTATTAGGGGGATAAATTTTATCACATGTTTGGTTCCACAAATAATAAATGGGATAAAATTTTTGAAAAGTAGAATAAAATTGAAAATTTACCAAAAAGCCCTCAGATATATATATATATATATAAAGATGGAGCCAGCTGGATCGGATCGCCCGATTGAGCCAGCCAGCCGCCGGCTCGGATTGCCATCTACGTCGTCGTCCTCCCTCTATGTCGTCGTCGTCCTCCTTCTGCTCGGATCACCAGTCGACCTCTTTCTAGCCGGATCGGGCCCAGTCAACCTCCTTCCAACCATCTGCATCGTCGTCCTCCTTTCCAGATGTCGTCCTGCTCTGCGGCCAAAGTCATCGTTGTCGTCAGGCCACGAGCGTCGGCGGGAGTTGTCGTCATCGGGCCCTGAGCGTTAGCGGTCCAGTCGTCGTCCTCGGTGGCCCAGTCGACCTCCTTCTAGCCAGTCAACCTCCTTCCAACTCCTCATTCCAGACGTCGACCTCCTCTGCTCCGACTCCCTCTGGTTTCAATCGGCAAGGGCATTGTCGTCCATGGGATAAAATTTATCTCCCCAAACCGTGAGATAGCTTATCCATGGGAGACTGATACATATCCATATCTGGATTTGTTACAAGCCAACCGAATGCATGATAAGATAGGAAAAGTTTATCTTATCCTGCCTTATCATGCCAACTGAACACCCCCTTACGTGTACTCAGTTTAGTCAACATTCTTTGATGAGCATTTACATGGCCATTCTAGTACATTTATATATACAAGTGATCCTAACAAAGACCACCTTCAAATTTGAATGAGCATAACATGTGATTATATGTTTGAATTACCAACACTTAATTAATAATTATATGGCAATGAATATTTAGAGATAGAATTTTTCTCATGATCTCATCATGTCTAGCTAGTATCATTTGGCTTATGGACTTATATCAGGTTGTAATATAAATTTAAGATACAAAAGAAACATGCCAATTAAAGATTGCATAATTCGTAACAAAATATGAAATATCATTAACATATTTATTTTACGGCATACACAATATATATTAGGTATGGCAAACCAAAAAGGGGAAGAATTTGTTTGTTGGAAATGAATCAATTTTTTTTTATTATTTTTTTTTTTGGTGGTGAGTGAATGGCTACAACAATATAAGAATCGCAACTCAATGTATCCAAAAATCAACAATTAATACAATATAACTCAATTTATAAAAATATAATGATCGTATGTTTCCTAAAATAAAAAGTAAATGGTGAGAAATGCAAACCAAGATTTAAAAAAGTTTAGCTCACACTCAACGCCTAGATCTTGAAAACAAATTGTTTTGCAACAATATCCTACAGCATGTAATAAAACAATAGGCGACTATAGTTTATTTGAGATAAAAATCCAGTCAATACTACTTATGTTGGTCAATCATTCCAGGGCTTTTATAGTTTGAATAACCCTTAAGGGCAAGAGAGACAATTCTCACTTTTAATGAAGGGTAAAAATGACAAAAGATGTAATAGCACACGTTATATCTGCCTTGTAGTTATTGGAAAATTTATATTAACTACAAAATGAACCTAAAAACTTGTATTTGTGATGATCTCCATTGTGTATGACCCTCTTAAGTTTAGTAGTGAAAACATAATGTGATCTAATCAACATTATATTTAATTTAAAATAAAATCTAAATTAAATTATTTATGAAACCATTTTAATAAAAAATAAATAATAATCAATTATTATCAAGTTATTGACTTAAATTAACTCTTCACATTTAGTGTATATATATATATATATATATATAAGTGATCAGTATGAAGATCTTTTTTGTTAGTATCATCAAGTTTTTCAAGATATGTTTTTCTTGGTTTGCCTAGAAGTTCAAGGAGAAAAGATTAAATAATGGTGGTGGTTGATCATTTCTTTAAGATGGCAAACTTTGTTCCATGCAGTAAAACTCTATTTTAAGGAGATTGTCAAACTTCAAGCCATTTTGAAACAATTACTTCAAATCAAGATATTAAATTCATGAGTCATTTTGGCATGCACTTGGAAGGATTTGGTACTAATCTTCAATTTAATACTACTAATGGTCCTCAAATTGACGAGGAAATAGAAGTTGTCATTTGCAATTTGGGTGATCTTTTGAGAAAGTTGGTGAAGAAGAATATGTAAATTGGAATTTGGTTTTGCACAAGCTCAAATTGTCTACAACTATTGCCAAAATACTGGTTGCAATCTCTTTCAAGTTGTGTACAGTTAGAAAACATTAAGTCCATTGGACTTGATTTCATTTCTTACACATCAGAATTGTGTTGGGATGCCTAAGAAAGGGCTAAACAATTGAAGAAGTTGCATTAACAAACTGACATCATCCTCATGGGTGTTTTACAATCGTTATTAGTGAAGATGTACAGATTGTAGTATTTATTCCAAAATAATATATGTGAATATTTTGTTTGAATGGAATGGTGAAAAGTTTTGAATTTCAAAATTTTGAATTGGTGCCAGTAGAGAAAAGTTTTAAGGGTTTAACTTAAACATGATTGCTGGAGTGAGTGGAAGGGCAAAAGGGAAAAAAAATTAAAGGATATACATCAATATTTGATTGAATAAATAAAAAATAAAAAATAAAGAATAAAATATACATGTACTCAATATTTTAAAAACTAGATCCGATATATAATTGATAATCTTATTAATTACATGTTCAATCAATTTAATCTATTTAAATACTAGTTCAACTGTATAACATAAAATATAATAAATTTTTTAATATTTAAATATTATAATTTAATTAAAAAATTTAAAATAAAATATGTAATGTTAAATTATATATCATAATATTATACAAAACTTATTATTTATTAAATTTAAGTAAAATTATTTAATATTTTTATAAAAAGAACCAATTAAACCAATAAATTAACTAGTTTAATAATAAAATAACATTACAAATTGGACCAACTTAAATAACTTGTCGGTTCTAAGTCGTATCAATTAAACCACCCAGCAGCCCCGTTCAGCCCAGTTTTCAAAACGCTGACCCACTGATCCGGAGCATAATCAAGTAAATCGAAGTATTGGGTGTCCGTCTGCCCTAGAGAAGGATTCGACGCCGTTAGAGGCATTCGGAGACTCCACGACGTCTGGTTCCCCCTGGTTGTCGAGGGTGAGTTTTTTATCCTAGCATTTTTAGCAGCAGCGCCAGCAGCACCTCCCTAGAAGCTGCTTGTGAGCGGTCTTAACATCCCTTTCAGTTACATAAAGCGGTGGAGAGCACAAAAGCATAGTCAGAGGCTCGGAGCTCAAAGGCTCATCTCACTTCCTAGACACGAAGGTGCAGCTTATAGATGAAATATAGCCATACTTAGCACAAGAAGGGTTAGGGCTCCGCACAGGCACAAAAAAAGAAAATGAGTATATGGAATTACGTAGTGACGGCTCACAAGCCCACCAATGTCACGCATTCTTGCGTTGGCAACTTCACTGGGCCACAGGAACTCAATCTCATTATCGCGTAAGCCACCTTTTTTTTTTCTTTTTTCTCCACTGAGATTGTTCACTCTTTTCCCCTTCTTTTCGTTTTCATTGTCGTCGCAGCGTGTCTGCAAAAGTGCGTTGAAATGTTTGATTTCGCTTTATTAGGTTCTCTTGTCATAAAACAAATTTGGGGATTTCCATCTATATTGGTTTGGGGATTTCCTCCCCTCCAACCTCTAGATTGTTCCTATGACATGTTATTTTTGGTTTCAGTTATTATTATATATTTATATACATATGTTCGGAAGGGCATGTCTGCATGTTTACCTTTTTGTGTATTCTGGAAATCAGACACTCACAATAGTATGATATTCTAACAGGAAATGCACCCGTATCGAGATACATTTACTCACACCCCAGGGTTTGCAGGTAATGTCTTTTATTTTTCCTGCTGCTTTCTCTTTTGTGGAATATAATTGTAGACGCGTGTCCCTGGTGTTTACAAATTTGTAGCATATTCTTTTAATTGCCTCCTTATTATGTATCACTTATACTCTCTTTCCTGTTGGTTGCCTAATCCTTATTTTCTTTGCCTTCGAGTTGGTTTGTAAAATATGATGGTAAATGTTGTGAACTACTTAAAACTTATAAACCTGTAATACCCGTGTAGTCTGTATTATACAAAAAACTAGTAGCGGTGCTTAGGATATTGGTATACACTAAGGCGCAATTTGCTTGATCATGGTCAAATTACTCCACTTTTAGATTAGAATACTGTATACTAATATGCAATTATGCCTAAAATTTGTCTAAGGCTATAAGCTTCTTTAACCTTTCTGTTCGCTTTTTATATACTATTAATGCACGAAGGCTAGGCTTCACCCTAATTGAAGGAAACCAAAGTGCTCCATAGAAAAATTCAGTTGAACTAGATACTTCAGGAGTTCAGATTTATATTTCGATTTGAGATGTGATATTGATATTTGTTTTAAAAATGGAAGAAGCAAGTAGTCATGATTGGTTTGGAAGTGTTCTGGGCTTCTTTATAGCTGTTTTTCATAAGTTAGTGGTCTTCCATCTGAAAAAGGTTGTTCAGTACATGAGATTCCGCCAATATTGAGGTTTAGGAGGGTTGTCACATATACGCAGCCTCAAGTGGTCGCCCCTGCACGTACAGACTACAGAGGTTATTTGTGAAATTCAGATGCATGATATCCAAGTTGCAACAGAACAAGCTTTACCAGTATAATAAAATTAAAATGTGATTTGGTACTAGAAATCAATAAAAGAGTGTGACTGTGCCATGAGGCTTCCTGCTTAGCAAGAGTTGGAGGAGGGTGGTTGAAGGTACACATAGTTACTCTTTTTATGTGGAAAGAAATTTTAATGTTTCAAAGTTCTTGATCCAAATTCCAAGGCTTGCCCTTAGATGATAGAAATCAACTTTAAATATCTATAACCTGAACGCAATGCAACAAGGTTTACTAGTACCATAAAATTTTCAGGTGAATTGGATACTGGAAACTGATATTGAGTTCTCAAGTATTGTATCTTAGTGTGTTTGTAAGGACAACAAAAAGAATAGAATCAAAATTTGTTTTATTGGTGGTGTTTCTAAATGATCCCATATAATTAAGTGATAAAATGTTAGTTCTACTAGGAAGGAACAAATTGTTCTTAAAAAAAAAAATTCAAGGTTCACATCCGAAGAACATTAAACACGAATAAATAACCACTTATGTTATATAGGTCAGTATTCATGACCTTCTATTGTTGTTTAGAAATATTAATTTTCTTTCAGTTTGCAGGAGGTGGAAAAAAGAAAAAAAACTTATTCTCTAGTGGGAGGATGAAATGGGTTGTAAACTTATTGAATATTTTGATGTATCAAATGCTTATCAAACATTTTAGTTTTAAAAACAAGAATACATAGAAGGGGCACATGATAATTGTTAAAAAGCAAGCCTTAAATATTCTTCCACATAACTGTATTTAGAGTGCTATCAGCCATTCACTTTGAGCAAGATTTTTCCCTTGCTTGAAAAACCATAATTTCAATGAACATAAGAAGAAAAACATAAACAATGAGTTACATATGGCGACCTCCTGGAGCTAATATATAGCTAAATGCTAATCCATGACATCAACCAGCTGTATATGATAATTTATCTTGTTCTTATTATCTATGTACAACTGCTTGAGAATGTTGATAGTTAAATTCACAATATTAATTGACAGAGAGATTATCAATTTTGTTAGAAGGTCCCTTTATGCTTGACCTTTGTCAGTAGTCATGTTGCAGAGATAAACATAGGGACAAATTTATATAGGTAATGAAAAAAAATGTTGGATTATATTGTTGAAAGTTGGGTGTATTTGACACTACAAACATATCTAGAAGGAAGGAAAAAAGTTACAAGTATTTGTTATACTGAATTTGTTTATCTGCAGCCTATGTTGGATGTGCCAATATATGGAAGAATTGCAACACTTGAACTTTTTCGCCCTCATGTAAGTATATCTCTTGGAAAGGGATTGATTTAGCATAGAAACATTTCAGCTTTATTGAGGAAAGCATGATCATGCTTGTGTTTAATTTATGGCTTTAATGACAGGGTGAAGCACAAGATCTTCTGTTCATTGCTACAGAAAGATATAAATTTTGTGTACTTCAGTGGGATCCAGAGGCAGCTGAGGTTATTACAAGGTAAAACATGATAGAAAAATTTACTTGGGTTGCCTTTATTTGCATATTAAAACTTTCTTGATTTTACTCTGCTTTTCAATTTTAAATAAAATCCTTTTCTAGAGGCCTAGTTGAACTGACTGTAAATTAATTTTGTAAGTTTGTTTTATTTTATTTGTGGATGGTAGAAATCTATTTCTTGGTGATTGTAACGGAGTTCTTCTGATTCTTGCATGACAGCATGTATTTTGCCACTGATCTGAATTTGGATGTTGGGGACCACGTAATGGATATAGTGTGGTTATTGCTGTTTTGCTTTTGATGTGGTATTGGGAATATATGTCATGTGCATATGGCTTCTTGACTGAAAATAGAAAAATGCCATAAAGTATTATTTTAAGTTTTATTGTTGAGGTGAACTTGATTCCTTGGATTCATTCAGGTGTTGAGAAGATTTTGGTCAAGTAGGTGTAATATTGAGAAAGATCTTCATGTGGTTTTATTGATTTAGAGAAAGCTTATGATAAGGTCTCTCTGAATTTAAAATGGTGGGCTTTGGGTAAAATCTGTGTCAAATATGCATGTGGAAATTATTAAAGTCATGTATGATGAAGTTGGAATTCTAGTTAGAAGTCATGTATGAGAAAGTAGTAGTCTTCTAGTCATCCCATCAAAAGTCAACATTAATCCCCTACCTTTTTGTATTAATTACGGATGGATTAATCAAAATGTGGAAGATGAAAGCGCCCTTTATTGTAGATAATATCATTTTAATAGATGAAACTAAAATAGGGATAAATACTAAGTTAGAACTTTGGAAAGGAACCTTAGAATCAAAAGGATTTTAAGATAAGCATGACCTAAATAAAGTGTATGAAGTGTAACTTTCGTAAAGTTGAAGATGAAGATTTGGATCCACATCTTGAGCCCAGTTGACTATGATCCTTGAGTGGTAATTGAAGGTCAAGGAGATGCTATGTGTCTTGACATTGGATAATGTTGATAGACAAATGGCATATAAGACTTTTGAAGGCCACTACTAAATGACTTGGGTTGAAGTATTTTGGGTTAGTGGTCTAGGATTTGGGCATTATAAGTTGTTAGGACGAATGCTCCTTGGGTTATTGCAAATGGTATTAGAGATGTACGCTTTGCTAGTAGACTTGGTGTGGTTCAAGGATGAGGGAGGTGAGTGGAAAGGGGTATTCGAGTTGCAGATGGTTTGAGATGGAGCCTCCTCTTTGTCCAAAGGGGGAGGTGAAGTGTTTAAGATGCGGCAAGTGGAAAAAGGCTATTCGGGTTGTTGTTGGTAGGTTTGAGATGGAGCCACACCTTCATGATTGGAATGCACCAATCATCCCATGTTAGAAAGGGGGAAAAAGGTTGTTTGCCTTGATGAGGATGTCAAGGGTTTGAATGGAGATTTTGATATCTTGTCCTATATGGGATATTGAGTGTGAGATACATTAGTATGTATAGACTCTTAAGGGTCACTATTGAAGAAATGGGGTATAAGCATTTTAGACCTATGACTTAGGCTCAACAAGTTGTTAGGATAAGTAGTCCTCATATTGTTACAAGGCTTCAAACCTTGCCCATCCGTCCTTCATTTGTAGATCTATAAATAAGATGAAAATAAAGAAATTGTTAGTTTTGATGGATAAGGAATAACTATTGTTGACCAATTTCATTATTTAGGTTCATTATATATATGTAAATTATAGAATTAAGGTTGGGAAGAAGTAGGTGAAGAAATTCTTAAGGAGCCTTATGTGATTGGGGGAAAGTTTTACGAGATGTGTGAGATTGGATTTACTTTATGATAAAGAATGTTAGCTTGGAAAACATGTTTGAGTGTCTTTCCCAAGTCAAGTTAATAAGGTAGTCGAGTCTTTTGTAGTTATTACCTTGACGTATGGGTACTGAGTCGTGTTTCCTCACTATTGGATTATTGGTATTGTGTTACCTTCATTGATGGATATTGTTGATGTACTTGGGTATATCTAATGAGAGAACACCCTAAGTTATTTTCTATATTCATATTCTTTTGTACTAAAATTTAAAATTAATTTGGCAAAGCCGTTAAAGCATTTCCAAGTGATAATGCAAAAGAATATTTTTCTATTGACTTTTCATCTTATTTGTCTTCTCATGGCATTCTACATGAATCCACTTGTCCTCACACATCTCAACAAAATAGGATAGCAAAATAGAAAAATAGGCACTCAGTTGAAATTTCTCTTACTCTTTTGTTACATGCAAATGTGCCTATCCATTATTGGGATGGTGCTATTTTAACATCATGTTATTTGATAAATTGAATGCCTCCTTCTTCCCTTCAGAATCAAGTTCATAATTTTGTTTTGTTTCCTAGTGATCCTTTGCATCATATTTGTCCTTGTGTCTTTGGCTGTACTTGTTTTGTTCATGACCTTTTACCAAGTTTAGATAAGCTAAGTGTTTGAGCTATTAAGTGTGTTTCCCTTGGATACTCCAGGTTGCAAAAGGATATTGATGTTATTTCTCTGTTACTAATTGTTATTATATGCCAATGGATGTCACATTTTTTGAGGAAATCCTATACTTCTCTCCTCCTTCAGTTGAGTCTCAATTGGTTTTTGAAATTTTGCCAGTTCTCTACTTTGGTCCTCCCTTGTCTCCTCTACAGTATTGCTCACAAGATACTCCGGTTATCTCTTAGGTGGCCACCCGTGCTGTTCTTCCTTTTGAATTATCTCCACCACCTCTCGTCACATACTATCGGTGACCACAAACTTCCATAATTGAATTGGAGAAGACTATATTTGATGAATCGTGTCCTGCCGTATCAACTTCACCTATCGCAAACTTGCTTAATGATGATTTGCCCATTGCCCTTTAGAAAGGTGCTAGATCTCCTAGAATCCCTCGTCTTATCTATAATGTCTTGAGGTTTCATCGCTTATCTCTAGCTTAGTTTGGATTTGTCTCTTCTTTATCCTCTGCTTCAATTCCTAAGAATACTAGTGAGGCACTTTCTCATTGAGGAGGGAAACAAGCCATGATTGATGAGATGTTGGCTCTCGAGCATGGTGGAACATGGGAGTTGGTTCCCTTACCTCTAGGGAAGTCAACTGTTGGTTTCATTGGGTTTATGCCATCAAAATAGGATCGGATGGGAAAATTGATCACCTCAAGGCACGTCTTGTTGCCAAGGGTGACACCTATTCTATGGCCAAAATTGCCTCTATACGTCTTATTCTCTTTATGGCAACTATCAGTCACTGCCTTTACATCAGCTGGATAGCAAAAATGTATTCTTTCATGGTGATCTTGAAGAAGAAATCTATATGAAGCAATCTCTTGGTTTTGTTGTTTAGGGAGAGTCTAGGCTAGTTGGCAAACTTTGGCTTTCTCTTTATGGTCTAAAATAGCTTCCAAGAGCTTGGTTTAGGAAGTTCATTATTGTTGTTGAAGACTTTGGTATGAGACATAGTGAAGCAGAGCATTCAATTTTTTATTCTCATTCCTTCTCTGGGAAGTGTATTTATTAATGGTATATGCAGATGAATAGTTATCATAGGAAATGACCATGAGAGGTTCGTTCAATTAAAAGAACATTTATTTAGACACTTTTAAACCAAGGATTTGGGAAAACTTAAATACTTTCTTGGTATTGAAGTGGCTTAATCAAGGAAGGTTATTTCTAACTTTCAAAGAAAGTATGCTGTAGATGTACTTAAAGAAACATGTATATTAGAATGTAAACTGGTCCCTATGGATCCAAATAGTAAATGGTTACCGCGTCAAAAGGAGCTATACTCAAATCTTGAGAGGTACCTAAGGTGGGTTGGAAAGCTAAATTATCTTATTATTACTAGATCTAACATCTCTTTTGCAGTGGGAGTAATTACTCAGTTCATGCAATCTCCTTATACCACTCATTGGGATGTTGTTGTATGAATTATAAGATATATCAAGAAAGCTCTAGCTCAAGGTTTACTCTATGAAGATAAAGGAAACAATCAAGTAATAGGATTTTTTGATGCAAATTGGGCTGGTTTTCCTATTGATAGGCAATCTAACTCAAGATATTTTATCTTTATTGGGGTTAATCTTATCTCATGGAAGAGTAAGAAACAGAATGTTGTTGCTACATCTAGTGCTGAAGCTGAATACAGAGCCATAGTTGCAGCCATTTGTGCTTATTTGGACAAACCAATTATTCTGAGAGTTGAAATTTGAGAACATTCAGCAAATGAAGTTATGCTGCAACAATCAGTGTTATCAAATGGCGGCCATGGCGGAATTTCGAAATTCCACAAGAGAGCCATCCGCCTTTAACGTTTTTGTCATAATGGTGCCATGGGGCCCACTATGGCCATGGCGTCGTGGCGTTGCAGTGACGCCATGGCTGTAAGCAGGCTTGGTCCATGGTTTGCCGATGGGCCATGGGCCTCGGTTAGCCTAAGGGCTTTGAGTGTGGGTTGTGAAATGGGCTAGGGCTTGGATGGGGGCCGGTAGATGGATCTTCTCCTTCGATCTGGTAGATGGATCTTCTCGTTCAAGTGGGAAAACATATCTAAGATGCGTGTGAAACAAAGCACTGTCCTTTGCATGCGAGTACCAAGAGACAATTGATAGCTAGAGCCAAGAGCCGAGAGAGACGAGATTGCCAATTGCTGACTAAGCGAACTGCAAGTGACGAAGAGTGCCGATTGCCGACTGTCGATAGACCACAGTTATTAATAGCATGCTATAGCGCTGGCTATAGCGTGTAGCACGTTGCTATGACACTGTGCGCTACAAGTGAGACATAGCATTGTGATGTCTACATTGCGAGCAATAGCACGCTATATTCCACTGTGCTATGGTCTGCTATACACGCTACTATGAAACGGTAAATGTTTTAAGCCTAGAATGAAACACCTGATGCATGCCCTAGATCAATTGAGCCTTGTAAGACTTCTCCATCGAGCCTCACAATACTTCTATTCTCCTCTTTGCTTCACCCTAGATTGATCGAGCCTCGAATCAGTACTTTGCCCTCTCTGTCTTGAGCTCAACTCATGTTTGTGTCGGCTTCTACTTATTGTGTGGCTCGGGTCGACTCTCATCCTCTCGACCTCGACTCTCAATCGTGTCGGAGAACTTGTAGAGTCCTAGAATCCTTTCTTAGAGTCGTGATCAAGCCTCGACTTTTCCTCTGCTCTATGTGTTGGCTTCTACCTATTGTGTGGCTTGGGTTGACTCTTATCCTCTCGAGCTCGACTCTCGATCGCGTTAGAGAACTTATAGAGCCCTAGAATCCTTTCTTAGAGTTGCGATCAAGCCTCAACTTTTCCTCTACTCTATGTCACGATCGAGCCTGGTCTTAGAGTCGTGATCGATCCTTGACTTTTCCTCTGTGCTATGTCGTGATCAAGCTTGGTCTTAGAATCCCTTCTTGGAGTCGCCCTTTCCCTTTTATCCAGAGCCTCGACTTCTACTCTGTTCTCCATCACAATCGAGCTTGGGCTCAAGTGAGTTAAGTTGGCTTGAAATTTGACTCTTCAGCCTTATTGTTTTTAAAATATTAATATTTTTTTTACTCGAAGAAATAAAATGTTGGCTTTATCCCCACTTAAAATGTTCATACATGGCAACTAACCATTTGTTACCTTGGTAATGTTAGACAAATAATTGATTCTATAATTTTTATCACTTCATTTTGGTTTGTTGTCTATATAAAGAGTTGTCTTGGTTGAGTTGAGCCCTTCACTCTTTGTCCAGAGTCTCCTCTCCTCTCCTTTGTTAATGGTGAGGAGAAGATAGCTAGTTTTTCATATATATTATTATTATTTATTATAATTATATACTTTGCGCTATTTTATCGAATAGCCACGCTATTTGCTATCCACTATGCTGCTATGGCCCCTTTGCGCTATGGTGCGCTATGTGCCATAAACAACTATGCGATAGACTATCGAGGGAGGAGAGACGACCCTAGAGAGATGACAACCATAGTTGAGGAGAGAGACGACATCCATAGTCGAGCCAAGAGAGACGAGCGACAGTGCTGTTCTGCTGCACCTGTGTAACTGGGTAGTTTTTTTTTTTTTTTTTTTTAAGTTACTGGTCTGCTGCTGTGTAACTAAAACTAGGTAGTTTTTTTTTTTTTTTTTTTTTTTTTTTTTTTTTTAATAATAATTTTTAAGAGTTAATAGTCTAACCTGCCGTTTATGCCCACCTATAATAACAACAACTATTTATCGTATTTTTAGGTAACACATGACAACTGTAGGTTCTTCATTGTAGTTTAAGAATATTTTGTGTGTTTGAGATTGTTATTAAGAGTTTGACTCTAATTTATGTTTTTTGTTCTTCTTTTGAATGCTTGTGACACTTATTTGGTTGTTATAAAATGTTGCAATGATGTTTATTTTCATTTAATATTAGTTTTTAGTTGTTTTTGCAAATTTTTATTGTAAATTTTAATTTTTTTCCCTTGTCCGCCATTTGGCCACAACGCCATCCACCATGGCTCCATGGCGGTTTTTTGGCTTGCCACCATGGGCCGCCAAACGCCATTGATAACACTGGTGACAACCAACCAGCTCTGCATATAACCTCCAATCCAGTTTTTCATGAGATAACTTAGCATGTAGAAATAAATTGTCACTTTGTTTGAGAAAAGTTGTTATCCAAGGATATTGTTACAGATTCTGTTAGTTCTCATGATCAACTAGTAGATATTTTGACAAAGCCTCTTAGAGGACTTGGGGGTTATTATATTTGTAACAAGGTTGGTGCATATGATCTATGTGCTTTAGCTTGAGGGAGAATGTTGAAAATAACTGTATTTGTATTAGAGTGTTAGAGCTTAAGTTAAGCTATTTACTGTTTTTGTAAATAAGAGTCTAAATAGGGATGTAAATGTAAAGCCCGTAGCTTAGGGGCAAACCTGTACAATTCATTAATTTATAAAAACATTCTTCCTTCAACAAATTATTAAGATTGGATGGGAGTGAAAACTGGTAAAAGAACCTTTTGCATGCGTGGTAAGATTGGTTATGGGAGCCTTGTTATTCTCACTTGAAGAAAAAGCAATGCTAACCATCTATAAGAAGGATAGATTTCCTATTGTTGGTTGTTTAGTAACTTGCTCTACATCTTTATAAGTTCAAAAAGAGTGTTAACTGTGGAGGTCTATGTTATGTCTGACAAGGAATGCCTTCCTGAGGAAGCAGTTTATCTTCTGAGTACATTATCATTTCCACTCATAGTTAAGCCTTTCCTCCTAATGGAGGAATTTCTTGTCATCTGAAGCAGAAGTTTCTGGACCTCATACACCCTTTTTAGATGAAGCGTTGACTGTTATTATTTGTTATCCCCACCACCAACAATGATATTGCCATCTTTATCATCTTTTGTCACCTTAGCACGTTAGTAATCACTCTGTTGTTTTGGACTTCTTGTGTATGCTGCTGAAATTTAGGTGACTGATTAGATAATCTTGAAATGAAAAAATGCACACCACACAGACAATTCATTGTTTTGGAAAAATATATAATGGTCCTTTTTCTGTTTATTCTCTTGATAAATCTCATTCTTGGGGGTTGAACTTGTGCCCTTCCTCATGCAGAGCAATGGGGGATGTCTCGGATCGTATAGGACGACCTACTGACAATGGCCAGGTAATTATCGAATAAAATTATTTTGAAATATGCTTGTTTGGATTTGGACATCTGTTGAACATGCAGTTTAACTTGAGTTTGAAGAAAATCAAATTTTTATTTTAATTATTTTTGGGTGTCCAGATTGGCATAATAGATCCTGATTGCAGATTGATTGGACTCCATCTATATGATGGATTGTTTAAGGTATATGGTCTAATACATTTCCAGTCTATATAATTTTTCCTATGGGAGTTTGTTTGTGACATCACTATAGGGACAGGCCCATGACTTTCCACGTTTATGTTTCTATTGAATTTTAGAATGACAGAAGTTATCTTCATGTTATCATCAGGTTATTCCATTTGATAATAAAGGACAGCTTAAGGAAGCGTTCAACATCAGGTATCCTCTTTACTATCATTTTGTTTCTGAGAACTTCATAGTCAACTCTTATTTTGTTAAAGAAAATAATTTAGTGTCCAATAAGTTGAAGAGATAAACTTAGATCTAATGATTAATAGCCATATAGGTGGATTATATGTATTAACTCTTATTTGTATAATGTAGTTCATGATGTATGTTCAATGTTTCTGTAACATATATTTTCAAATAGTGTCATAGTGAGTGTAAAGTTGATTCAAAGTTGCATTTTGCAGTTTGACTTTTTTTTGGGTCCTCTGGTAGCCCAGTTTTGTTTACTAATATTAGGTTGGAGTTAAGATGACAGATATACTGAACATACTTGTTTTTATCATTTTGTGATCCCTTTCTGAAGGATCTCATAAAGCTGAAAGTATAAAACTTTGGAGCCTGAGTAACATAATGTGGGTGTGCCATCACAGAAGATTTATATGAAAGGTGGATCCATAGTTACCGAATTCATGGTACCCTATGGTAAGTGGTACGGTATGGGTGCCTGGTACTTCACTTGTTAAAAATGTGGTACATGGGGGGTAGCTTCAGCTGGTATGCTCTTTTGGTGCACAGTATGCTTGAATAATTTAATAATCTAAAGTTTTAAAAATTTAAAAATCACATAAAAAATTGTATAAATATGAGAGAAGAACCATTACGATAAATTTTATGCCAATACCAAAATTAAACTTAATTATTTGACACATTATTATTGTTAAGTTATACTAAAAATATAATAATATTTTATTTCAAATGCTTGTTTGTTATGATTAAAAAATAATAATAAGTTATAAAAAATATATTGATAAGGAGGAAGTCTGTTGGTTTGCTCAATTCATGGCTCTTACAATATGAATCTTCACATGGGACTTCAGCTGCTTTGGACTTGGGCCAATGACTTAGGCCAGCTTTTCTTTTGTTAGCCCAAAATTCTCTGAACTGGGGCTGATTTGGTGAATTGGGCTTTCTTTGTCAGCGCCTCTCTCCCCTCTTGCAGTTCACCATTTCTGCACAATCCAAATGCTGCCCATCTCTGTCTCCTTGCTGCAATGGTTCACCATTATTCTTCATTGGCTGATTGCATGGTGAGAAATCTTCTCTAGCGCCGATCTCTCTTCTTCCCCTGGTCGCCCTTACAAAAACCCTAGCCGATCTTCTCTGAAAGGCCCTCTCTGATCTTTGTTGAAATCAGCGTGATATGACACCTCTCTGTCTCCTCTTTTCTTCAGAGGAATGGAACTCCTCTTTCAGTGATCCAGATCACGTACCATCATGTTCCAGTTCACAAATGTATCGCGAATTGGGATGCACGAACCAATCCACACTACTCATGATAGGAGAGTGAATTAGGTAACTATGGATCTCTGAAAGAGTATGATGAACAAAATACAAATGATATTTTATGTTTAAAATGGTTCAGTTGATCTTTTAGTTTTATGGTTCTACAGCATGGAATGCGGATTTAAAGCTCAATTGATGGAAGGTTTTTATCAAAAACTTAAGGGAGAATGGGTGTTGTTGATTGGTTAGTCTTTTTGAAACCATTTAACAGTTTGTGGGTTGCGCTTATTGGTTAATTAGTCCTGGAATCCTGGTTGCTTCTTATTAATGATTTAGAGTTCTGGGGCTGTTAAGAAAATACATATTAAGAAAAAGTCTGTAATACAAATGCTCATATTTAGACGGATGTTTGGCAAGATTAGGAAAGACTCAATGAGAATGATTAAATTTGTGAGATGACAAAGGTAGCTGCTATTGAGGATAAGGGAGAATTGCTAAGATGATTTGGACTTTTTTAATGAACACTCTATAAATGCTCCTGTATAATTATACATTTAAGAGAATAGAATGCAGATGTTGGATTCATGTAGCTGGTTGCATGTAGGTCTGAAATGGCTCATTGTGTTGTTGGTTGAATTCATGTCTTTACTTATGCTTAGGAATTGGGTGTTTGACTGTGTTAGTTTTTGCTTACTCTATTAGGACTTACTGGTTTATCTGTTTTTCCCTTGTTACTAAGAGCCTTTTCCGTGTCAACATCATGCGAGTATAAGATGATTTTTCTATTGTTAAACTTTGAAATTGAACAATTTTATGTGCTCAGTCAGGGCTTAGAATATTACTGAGCCCTAATAGTAGACTGATGTTATTTTGTCACGCATTCTGTTTGGCTTATACCTTGAGTTAGATGTTTGCTGCATAGTAATACCACTAAATACTAGTTTTAGTTTTGTTATACTGTTATGCATTGTGGACTGTAATCGAATCGTGCGTGTAACTTGCATCGTGAATGCTGGCTTGTTTCAGACTTGAGGAGCTTCAGGTCCTGGATATCAAATTTCTCTATGGTTGCCAACGTCCTACCATCGTTGTTCTTTACCAGGTTTTGAATTTTCTTGTTTCAGTATGTTGTCCAGATACTATCATTCTATAATGGAATATGCAAACATGTAATAATTTTGGGTACTGATCAAGCTGGCCTTATTGTATCCAATGGCTGTTGTTTAGGTCGCCTGAACAAGTTGATTTAGTTACTTTTTAATTGTAGATCTCCCAAAACAATAATGAATCATCTGTGAAATAATGGGAGACTTTCTTGTTAATGCCATTTCTGGCTGTCTGTTTTCCTGTATCAATCACCTGCAAGCACAGAGAGGTTTCATTATTATTGACTGCATGACGGAGATTTTCATGGTAAAATCAAAGGTTTTTTACATTTCTGAGATGATCAATATCTTACTTTGCAGGATAACAAGGACGCTCGTCATGTAAAAACATATGAAGTTGCTTTGAAGGAAAAAGATTTTGTTGAGGGGCCATGGTCCCAGAACAATCTTGATAACGGGGCTGATTTGTTAATTCCAGTGCCCCCACCTCTTTGTGGTGTTCTCATTATTGGAGAAGAAACAATTGTATATTGTAGTGCCTCTGCATTTAAAGCAATCCCAATACGACCAGTAAGTCAAAGAGAAATGGTTTATTTAATAAGAACTTGCAAATATCATTATTTAATGATAAATTTTTTGGTACTTCTCTCTGTTTTACTTTCTTGCACTTGTAGTCAATTACTAGAGCCTATGGAAGGGTTGATGCAGATGGTTCTAGATACTTACTGGGCGATCATGCGGGCCTTCTTCATCTTCTTGTTATAACTCATGAGAAAGAAAAGTAGGTCTTATTCTTGTCTTGTTCTAATAACTGAGTGGCTATCCTTAATTTTCACTTTTCTAGATTATACCAATCTAAACAGATGTTTGCTTGGTTGATTATTCTGATGGGGTGTTTCACATCTTCTATTACTATCAGAGTTACTGGACTCAAAATTGAGCTACTTGGGGAAACTTCTATTGCATCGACTATATCATATCTTGATAACGCAGTCGTATATATTGGCTCGAGCTATGGGGATTCCCAGGTATATAAAAAATAATCACTTAATTTGGAAAGCTATGTTTCGAAGTAAGATATTGACATTTTGTCATTTTGTTCTAAAATATAAAATTAAGGAATTTTACACTTGAAAGTCTTAGGGTTATCAATGTGGCATTGAATGTGCATTTGTGACAGCAGAAAAATTTCCTTGCATGTAAAGACATTTGAAAAAGGATAATTTTTATTGGGCTGTGGATGTTGTAAATCCCACAAATTACAGTTGTATATCCTCCACAGTAGTAAAAAATAATAAAAGGAAGAATAGATAAAGGTTGCTATATGTTAAACCCAATTAAGATTCTTTGTAAGGTTCGTTCTAAATTAGGAAAAGATTTGAAAAACAAATTTATGAATTTTGACATGCAGTTTCCTAATTGTGTCAATGGTATATATTTATGAGTTATAATAGCAGATTTACACAATTAATTGGATAGGATTGTTATGATTTGTAACAATCTGATGTTTGGCTTATAGATTTGAGTGGAATAGGACCAAATTAAAACAAATCATAAGATATAATTCTAAATCCTGGAAAGCTATTGTCTGATAGCTAAAGAAATTATTGTAGACTGCATTGGATGCTAGTTCAAGTCAACAAATCACAAGTCAACTAATCTTTTGTCACTTTTGTTGGCACGTGTAATGGTTTTTTTATTAGTTGTATAGATCGTTTATCCTATATGTGGGAGTTTGATGACTCTGATTATATGTAGGCTGTGCATTTGGTCTAGATGGGAGTCTGTGACTCCCAAGCAGTTGTACCTTCTATTTTTCTGATGAGTCCTGATTTGTTCCTGATGAAAATTTTTCAAAGCTTTGATGTGAAAGGTAAAAAGAGCATTTGGAGTATAGTTGCTTACCATGGATTGGCCACATGATTATGAGCTTTATGAGTTTTTATAATTAACGTCTGACTGATGTTATTGTACAAGAGTAAAATATCACCTAGTTTTAAAAGTATTTAAAACTTGATTGAAATTCACTTGTGCTCAATTTTAACGTATTTTTAGTTTCATTAAGTTATTTAGAATAGAGAATAATTAAGAAAAATGTTGAATAGTTGTATTCTTTTAAAATATAACGTTTTATAAGGAATAATAATTACATGGGTCCTAGAGAAATATTTTTTATACAAATAAAATTGTTAATAAAAATATTATTCCACATTGAATGTCACTTTTTAAGGTATGTGTCCTTGTATTGTAAATGGAAGACATTTTGGTCGCCCGTTATTAACTTAAACATAAAAGTTGGAACAATAAATTTATATTTCCTATATTATTTAGTTATCAAAATTAAAAATTTTCAAGAAAAATATCATGAAATTTAGATTGTAGACATTCAAAAAAAATCTTTTTTCCTTTTAGCTGTAAAATGTTATTTTCTTTCTTGATGATTAATTTTCAACTTCTGCCCTATCATCAATATAAAAGGTCATTAAGAAAAAGGAGTTAGAATATTATGCAGTGTAATAAATAAGTATGCATTTTTCATATTTATAATTATTTTTGAAATAAAGCATTTAAAATAATGCATGGACTCTTCAGTTGTTATTTATGTTATCATCTTTTGCAATTTTAATTGAAAATATCAGATGTTAGCATTCTTTTGATTTTTATTTTTTATATTTTGAAATACTTTGGTAATTATAGAACAATGTGATTGTACATGGCATGCAAATTACAGTGTGCTTGTGGAACAATTAATACCGAAGCTACAGTTCTTATATTTGCATGGCAGTGTCATCAGTTTGTTTCAGGTTTTGATCAATTGAAATTTATAATTTAGCAAAATGTTTTGTTGGAATCGCAGCTTATAAAGCTAAACCTCCAGCCAGATGCAAAAGGTTCATATGTTGAAGTTCTAGAAAGGTATGTCAACTTGGGTCCAATTGTGGACTTTTGTGTGGTAGACCTGGAGAGGCAAGGTCAAGGTCAGGTTGTAACTTGTTCTGGAGCTTACAAAGACGGGTCCCTTCGCGTTGTTCGAAATGGAATTGGAATCAATGAGCAGGTGTTTGTTTTTATACCCAATACTGAAGTATTTAGTTGCCATAATTTGTTATTGTTTTAGTTGTTTCCAGTGAACTTATGCAAACAAGTCACCTTCTAGGCATCGGTAGAACTTCAAGGCATCAAAGGAATGTGGTCACTAAGAGCAGCTACTGATGATCCCTATGACACATTCTTGGTTGTCAGTTTCATTAGTGAGACGCGTATTTTGGCTATGAATCTTGAGGATGAGCTGGAAGAAACCGAGATAGAGGGCTTTTGTTCTGAAGTCCAAACTTTGTTCTGTCATGGTGCAGTTTACAATCAACTTGTGCAGGTTGTTTTCCTTCTCTTTTCTGTCTACCTCTACTATATTTCTTGACTGAAGTTTCAAAAATTTTCATATGTTTGTCAATATGCGATGATATCATTAAAGTTGCAAAATATGGCTGTAATCAATATAAGCAGTGAACATGAAAGCATTTTGTTGTTGATATTATTAATATTATTCATTTTATTTTTTTGGGACAAAAGTAATTTGTTGTTTTCTTCTGACCTGAAATTTGCTTAGCTAGAAAGCTAATTGAAACCACACTGGCCTTTTGATAAAATTTATGTTTACATCCCTTCCTCTTTGTAGGCATTTGCAATTGGATGGCCATAATTGTCTTTTTGCATCAGTAAATTTTACAAAACAGAACTGAGCAAAGCATAATGAACTATACTACTTGAAATTCTGTGGTCTTTAGATGATAGTTGTGTTTGTGCCCCTTGCTTCTTTTGAACATATGCAAATGCATGCACAATCATCTTTATGCATTGGGAAATACTACAAAACACAACTGGGAAGCACTGTAGACTATTACAAATTAAATGTTTACTGGACTGTATTATGACCCCTTTGTATCCAATTGACTTGTTTTCTAATTGTGGATCAGGGGGTTCAAAATTAGCAATCTCTGAAAAATGTACTCTCAAAATATAAAGGAGTACTATATTTCCATGATGAATTTGCATAAAAGTATCTTCATTTGTGGGTATCAGGAATTTTACTGACGTCCATGTGGAACAGCAGGGTGAATTTTTACATTGTACTGTAATTGAAGCAAATATTAACTAAAAAAGTAAAGTTCAAGCATTGATTGGTTGAGAATTTTCCCAGGAAGAAAGAAAGTAGCACATACAATCTTGATGCACAACAATGAAACATTTTTATGTGTTTCTTTAGGTATATGTTATAAATAAGTTATAGTATTAATATGATTATAAACATTGATGAGTAATAATAATTTCTTTTTATCTCCTGTAAATTTTTCAGTCGTGACTTTAGTTGGTGTAATTTGGTTACTCTTTCTTTGAACTTTATTTTTGCTTATGATCTTATGGTAGTATAATTAGTTTGTCATCCCACTTATAAAGTCCATTGTCTTTAAAAGCTGTATTTCTCCACTCACAAACTATTATATATCCAGCTGGTTTTTAAGACCCTCCCCACCCCCCAACTTGAGGCAGGTTTTAGTGCTTTATCCCATCTCCTCTCACCCATTTACATACTGCCCAAACTTGTCCAAGGGCCCCGCCCCTTGGGGGGGGGGGTGAGGGAACTAGTATTTAAGCTGCAGTGGTGGTCATAATTTGTCTCTTCCTTTTTGTGTGTGTCAATTTACTTATTTATTTTTTGGAGGGAGGAGATGCCTCACAATGGAGGTTGGGGATGAGATTGGTTGTGCTTTAGTGGTGGGCCTTGTCAATCGTTATTGGAGTGGTGGGGTTATGGTGTATAAGGAGGGGAGTTGATTGACAATTGACGAGTGACTTAAAATAGCTTTAGTTTTGCCAGCATGCTGTCATGAGTGGCACTCCTGTCCATTTTTCTTTTGAATATGGCTCAACCACATTTTAGTCAATTAGCATGTTTTCAAAATTTGATCTGAATAGGAACTTAATCACATGGCAGAGAGAATATTGTCTTAGTGCCTTTTGGTTACCTTTTGCTTATAATAAATATACATCTATATGTTATTATGGGTGTATGTGCTCCAATATTTTGTTCCTTCTAAAGGATGTACAAGCATTTTGAATATGTTGCCATGAAAACCTAAATTTTGCTCCTACTGTTTGTTACACCAATTGCCGATCTAAAGTTTATGGCATATGATGCTGCCTAAGCTGTCATAATAATAATTATCTCATTAACAAACATTTACTTGTTAAAAATTGCCCATTAGAAATTGGGGAAGATCTACGAATAATGTATCAGCTTCACTAGGTTAATGTGTGCATGTTAGCATCAACTGGTCTTTCTGATGATGACGTGAGAGAATCTAAAGCATATTATATTAGTAATATGTGTGTGGCCACTTGCAGTAGTGAACCTGCATTTATAGAGAAATAGATGGCGAACTTCTTCCACCACTTTCATCATCTTTTGTTTTCAACTGGTCCTTGAAAAATTTTCCGTTGTTGATTATTGCATTGCTGATGGATGCTTTTCCCTGTGCTGCCAAAATTTTGTAGAGGATTAAGCTTTCCCTGTGGTCATGAATCATTTTGACAGGTTACGTCTAGCTCTGTGAGACTGATCAGTTCAACCAGTAGAGAATTGCGTAATGAATGGAAAGCACCATCAGGGTATTCAGTTAATGTAGCCACTGCTAATGCTACCCAGGTCCATATCCAATCTCTTATATTTTAATGTCATTTCATGGATTGTAAAACAGATTTTTGAAGTTGGTTCCTGTGCTTCATGGGCAGCTTAATAAATGGATTCCTTATTGTATCATCATTCTCATGCTTATTAGTTTGAATACTGTTTATTCAATCTATAGCTCAAAGCTATAATGTCATATGCAATGTCTATAAACTATAGTACATAGTATTATTGGTTAAATATTATCCATAATTTTCTGTGTTCAGCATTCATGTTTGTTAGAATCTCTATGTTGTGTGGAATTCTATATAATAGGAATGATGTTCATGGATACGGTGTATCATTTGCATTGAGAAAATGAGCAAAAATGATATTAATAGAACATATTAGGAACTATTAAATTGATATATTTTTGGAAGCAATCATAAGTTAACTTCTTTGTCGGTCATAAATATATTAATTTTGAATTGCTATTACAGAAATTAACTTTAAATTAGATCTCATTTAATGTTGATACTGCATGTTTATGCGA